CTAAGCGGCGTGAGCACTTACGTCTTCAGAACGGGATAGATATAACGTTAAAAAGTCACTTTCCTTTCTCATTTCGGCGTTTCAATCGTCATTCCTTTCCACGGAAGTTGAACCGTATCAGTTCGATGCATCGATCGGATTAACCTTCGAGGAATTTTCACGGATAATCTTCCGTGACGGATAGTTCATTTCCGCGAAGATTTTGCTTCTGTCTACCGATCAAAAATACAAACGTCGTCCCTTAATACCTACCTAAGTACGAAGAAGTATAGAAGGAATTTTATTTCCCCGAGTCTATCGACCTTAACTGTACGAAAACAGTTTCTTATATACGTACGCGTATTTACTCCGATTCGATTTGAAAGACTCTGAACTGGTAATAATAATCTCCCAGTCGTTCGCCGATATTTACGTTGGAAACATTTACTACAGGCGACTCGAAAAACGCCAGCCGTTTAAACAGAGAAATGAACGGTCGAAATTTTGGCAAATTGGCCATGGATGCCCGAAATTTTGGAAATTTTCCAAAACCTGTGTGCTAGATTAATTAAAGCGCGGGAAATTAATGAATCGTGGAAAATTTGAATAAGTGGCAATTTCGATCGTCGCGAAACATTCGGAAATCGGCCGATCCCGATATTTGCAAAATACGATACCGAATTGATCGAGATCTATCTACGATTATAAATCGATTGCAAAGAATTATTAAATTATTAAATTTCGAAAAAGGCGGCAAGATCGTCGAAAATCGGAAATCTTCAAACACGAGCCATCAGTGAGTACCTGCATTGATGTCGAGTCGTGAAGATTTACAAAATACCAGGCACGGCTTAGGTTTCTTCGAGATCTACAAGAATTGCTAAAATTATTATCAAATTTTGTACAACGATAAGTCTCGAAGCACGAGTATTAATTTCAATGAGTTGTTGAAAATTTGCAAAAAAAAAAAAAAAAAAAAAAAAAAAAACTCGGAATTGTCGGAGTCTACAAGCTGTAAATCGATCGCGAGGAAATTGAACTTCGAATTTGCGAATCTGTGTTTTACACGAATATATAGCAAACTTCGAAAAGGAATTCAAGCAAAACTACCTAATGTTTAATCTGGATCCAAGACAGAGTATCGGTTACGCTCTCTTCAAAGAGTATGACGATACCAGTTCGTAAACGGTGGGGAAAGAAACTCGAAGAAACCCCTCGGAAGGTGAATCACCTTCCTTTAAAACTCTGAACGGAACTTCCGGATGATATCGCGAATTATCGACGAGCTGTTCAAACAAGATCAATGACACGCTCGTGAATCACACACTGTTGGATGTGTGATCATCTTGTGCAAAAAAAAAAAAAAAAAAAAAAAAAAAGAAGACGCAAGAATGTCGTCTTCTTTCGAGAAGCAGCAAAAGAGGCAGACTATAGCCGGGTACAAGAGAAGTTCGAATTTTTGCAGCACGCCGGTGATAAGCGAAGCGAAGAAGCTCAGCAGCCTAAGTTTGTCCGCGATCGATTCCAACTCCTCGTCGGCGAGGGAACAAAATCGTAGGGAGATGCTGCTGGGAGATTTGGCGAGGAAGCAGAGGAGGAAGAAGAAATTGCAGCAGAAGTCGAAACCCAAAAAGAAGTCGAAACGAATTAAGAGAGAAATAAAAACGAATTACGATGACGAGAAATTAGATACAAGCAGTGATACAGATTGGGAAACTTGCGACGAGGAATCAAGGCGTCAGCTTTTAGTCAGGGAAGCTTCGACTTCTTCTTCCGCTTCCGGATCCAGGACTCCCGATGCCGTATTTCGAAATACGAACGTAGGATCGCCGGAGAAGGTTCGACGAACTTCTCAGTTTGTTGAAAATCGTTTGGATTCGCCACTTTTGAGGTCACGCGCGTACCAGATCGAAAGTCCAGAGAAAGTCGATTTTCATTTCGAAGAGGACGATGGGAAAACACTTCCCTTGAAGGATTTGCCTTCTTCTCGCTTATCCCTCGATGACTCTGACGACAACAAGAGTAGACATATAAGTAATTATCCTGTATTTTTTTTTTTTTTTAAATCGAATAACATAGGGTGGGTCAAAAATCCTACTAAAATAAATCCATAATTCTAAACTTAATTTAGAATTAATAAAATTAGTTTTTTCTTATATTTTCATATTTTATTATTTAAAAAAAAAAAAAAAAAA